GTTTTAGCGCAATTGTTGAAATTAAGTGTATCGTAAAGTTATATTCGGAAAGAAAAAAAACAGTTTTATTAAGTAAGGACTTGTGTCGCTAAAGTTTCGTCGGAACGAATTTACGGAAAATCAATTAACAAACGGAGACGTAACAATATTTTTGAAAATGGCCAAAGTTACCAACCAATGTGGGGTCATGATCTTAGTAATATTGGTGATGGACAAAGTTACAAGCATCCTTACCAGTGATGCCAAAACTATAATAACAGGGTTAATTGAATACTAAATTTCTAACATTCTTATTTTAATTGCTTTTTAATGGTGTTGGTGTTTTTACACTGTTGTGAGTCTGTGTTGTGCCACTTGTATTAAGTTGTATTGGTGGCAGGAAAAAAGTCACACATTTTTTAATACCCAAATACAGTGTAAAGTAATACAACAAAAAACATTTTAAGCTAGTTATTTATTGAGATAATAGCATGATATGTAACATTATATGAAAATTAAATGACATACACTCATTAATAACACAGCTTACATAACTGTTGTACAAGGATATAAAAAGGTAAATAAGGAACAAGGCTACTCGTCTGGCTTACCACTACCTGAAGAACACAGCTTTACATCTGACGTGAAGAACATAGCGTGACCTCACGAAATCAGTCTGGATGACTCTGCTTACATTTCCTACATTGTATAATGAATTTACTAACACATCAACTAATCTAAGCATTTATTCATTACAATTCATAGTGTCATGCTTTTTGATCAAACAGCACAATACAAACGGTGTTAACTGAACAAGTATATTTATATATAATGCAGAGTCAAGTACAATTTTCAGGCATATACGAGGTCAGACATCACATGAATGAGTGGAATAATTCAACAGTCTAACTTCTAAGAACATAAAAAATTATAAACATAAATTTTTGAATTGTGACTTTTTCATACATTCATTTGTAGTAACCTTGTACCAGTATACAGTTGAAATTTATAACTTTAGTCATGATGTCTAGAAAAGACTTACCTCATCAACCTCGAAGGTATGGCACCTTTCTTGAAACTACCCTTCACAGTGCCCTCCGAGATATTGCCAAGGAACAATCTCAAAAGTGTGGCTAAAAAAAATACAACATTCCAAGAGAAACTCTCCAAAATAAACTGAAAAGCACACATAACTTGAAACTTGGGTGCCCTACAATGTTATCAGAATTAGAGGAAAGGGTGATCATTGAACGTTTGTTGAAACTATCTGATTGGGACTTCCTACCCCTTTAAAAGGATGGACCCGAGGGTAACAGTCAAAATGTACCTGGACAAGCAAGAGTAGAAACAGAAAATGTTTTTAAAAGTAATTATCCTGGAAAACAGTGAACTGATCTGTTAATGAAGAGGCGCAGCAAAGATCTTGCTCAGCACATAAGCCAAAAAATTGCACACAAACATGCTAAAGTAGAACCATATCAGGTAAAAACTAACTTCAATAACCTAAGAGAAATGCTGTAAGAAGTACCACCTGGAAATATTGTCAGAACTAAGATTTATTAGTTATTTTGTTGCATTCTGATGCTGGTTCATATATTTTGTTTATTTATGATATTCATGAATATTGTATTCAAATGGAGTTTATTACATTTGATGTGTCTCATTTAGTATGCACTCATTATTAAAATCTTATTACACTAGTACTCTTATTGAAATGCACGTTTTATGTTTTTTCATTTTCTAAATTTTTTTTTTAATGCTTGGAATGGCAAAATTTCTCCCATATCCAAATGTGGCCACAGAGAGATTATAGATATATGGCCACAGTTGTGAGGTAACTTTAGCTACCCAATTTTTGGAGAAAAAATATATACACCATTAGGTGGGTCAACCATGATATTCCATGTGTTGGTAGCTCTTATAAAAGTACCCATTTAAATAACATTATTAATTTTTTTACAATAATGACAAAGTTCACTCATATGTGGTTAAAGTTACCAGTATTAGCATCAGAGCATTGCCTCGTTGTCTGGAATGACTTATCCACCACTATGCCATGATCTCTTTTCTTCATGCAGTCATACTAATGAGCAGGTTACATCTATATTAAATGTTTGATCCAAGTTATGTTAATACAATTGCATTACCTTGCATTTCTATAATTAAAGTCATTTGCCAAATATCTTTCCAACTTACCAATCGACACAAGTTACTCTGCAGTAGCCCAACATTCTCAGTACAACTAGAAATATCCAAGAGATTAATGTCATTTATTAATTATGCCCCTACCAAGATTAGTAATATAAATAATAAGAAGTACAGACACAAGCACTTTTTCCTGAGCTATGCCACTAGTAACAGAGGTACAGTTTAACTGGACTCCATTAGTAAAATTTTGCTTTCTCCCATACAACCACCTCACAGTAGAATTAACTATTCTTTCAAAAACCCCTACTAATATCATTTTCTTAGCCAACTTTCTGTGTGGCTCCTTATCAACAGGATTTTGAAAATCTAAGTACACCAAATACATACCCTTACAATCAGTTCAGAAAAGAAGTGACATCATCAGAGAAGAGTTAACAAACTAGTTAATCAAGATTTTCCTTTCATAAATCCATGGCTTTCTTTTATGTTACTTGTCACTAATTGATTTTGCAAAGTTTCTTTTATCACTCTATACTTTTCCCACTATAGTAGTAAGACCATCTGGTTTCAAACTATCAGTTTCTTTTTTTGTCCTTCATTAAAACTGAACATAACTTGAAGTTTTAACTTGTATATCCATAATATATTGTGTAATGATAAAAACAGTTTTAAAACTGACATTATAAATACCATACATTTTAATTTTTCTTGGGTTAAAAAAAATTAGGAAATTTTAAACCACTGAAAAAACTTCAGAATATTGTAAATTTAGTTTTATTTATATAATTTTATCAATCTAAATTTGTGGCATGATAAAATTTATTAAAGAATTGTTGGAAATGTTACTAATTTAGATATTAATGAAAAAAAAATCATTGTGCTTACTAAACAATGACTAGTCATTTATTTTAGTTTTTCAGAATATCTATAAAATGCTAGAAATGAGCACATCAGAGAAAGTTAAAATATAATGGAAATTGTTTTACTTCATATTTCAAAATTTGATGTGAATATGTGTTAAAAATTAAAAACTGATTTTTTGGGTAAAAGAGAGTAATATAATTTCACTGTAATATACATTAGAAAATTAGGAAGCCTTTTTGACAGATGTTTTCACTCGGTCTTTCAGTTTCTATGTTCAGCTAATTGGACAAGTACTTGGAGAAATAATTATTCAAGTTGATTTATTCATCATGTAAACTGCATTGCATAATGTTAATGAAAAACATTACATTTAAAAAACATATTCATAAAACATCTTTGAATAATAACACTGAATTCACAAAAAATTAACTACTCAGAAATAAAACATTGAATGCTGTTACATTACACTTAACTTTATAACAAATCGTAATCTATATATTAAAAATTGTTTTTCATTTCTTCTTTCGAAGAAAAAATTGTCTAATACTTTGGAATGCTGTCCCAAACTTGTGAAAAGTTTGCAAGTCATTACTAATCCATTTCGGAAGAGCTGACTTTACAGAAACACGATTGTAACGTGCATCAAGTAGGAGGATGGTAGCAAAGTCATTTTTGTGTCGAATAGCACGTCCAATGGATTGATTAACAGCTTTCATACAGATATTCTCATAGTGAACTTCTCCCGCTGGCTTTCCGTCACAGGTAGATGCAAACTTGTTCAGATAGTTTATCTTCTCTTGTAGTTCTGGAGACTTGATATTTGGATATGGGAGGCCAATCATAACAACACATCTTCCAAGGTCATCTGAGAAATTAATTCCTTCACTCATTTTCCCTCCTACCACACTAAACAATATAGCACCACTAAGTGTGTAGAAAGATGGGTTACTATTGGATTGACTAATGCATTTGGTATAGCTCTGGAGAATTTTATCAACTTGACATGCCTGTTTTGGTTCTCGAAATACCGTCTTCTTGATGTTAAGTTTTGCTATGGTTCCATTTTTCTCCCAGTAGTTGTACAAGCGTTGCTCATACTCATAAGAAGGAAAAAAACACACTAGACCACCAGGAATTATAGTACAAATATTAACCAACACTCTTCCAAGTTCTTCCATAACAAAAGGGAGCTCACGAGACTGATAGGTAAAGTCAAGTTGCTTACCACTGGGTCCATGAGATAATGCAATAGACAGTAAATTTTCTGGTGGAATAACATGGCCACAAGAGAAATGAGTAACTCTCTCAGGTGATACACCACAAGGTAAGAAAAGCTGGTTAACAACTTCAGAAACTGGTTCCATTGTTCCACCTGCCAAAATGACTGACCTTGATTCTTGTACAATATCTCTAAACTGAACAGCTGGATTTAACAGCAAAAATTTTAATGAGGATTTCTGAATAGTATTTTGTTTAATGCAAATAACTCTTCCATCTTTATTTGGATTTGTAAGTGCCTGTAAAAATCCCTGAACCTGAAAGAGAGGAGAAGAAATTAAAATCTCCTCTTGGTTTGAAGTTTCTTGTGAAATTTGTGGCTTGCCAGAGAGCTTCGATAAAAAATCACTAAGGGAAGACATATTTTTTTTAACTTCAGACTGTTTTTCTTTAACCTGTACTTGGTACTTTCCAGAAAACCCATGCAACTTCTGAGCAATTTGACTTTTGTTACAAAAACTAAGCAGTTTGAAAAGATTGATGTTGTCAACCCCAGCAATGGATAAAAAGTCATTTGTATGGTAGACTTTCACATCGGGATCTCCTTTATACTTCTTTTCTTCAGACAACTTGCCTAATGTGCCACCAATCTGCTTGATGAAAGCATTCATGATAAAGAGCACTTGTTTAACATACATGAGATTCTTTGGATTAAGACGAGAGTAATATCGCTGTAGATAGTGATTTAGCTGAGCATAAGCATGTGACAGATGCATGCCACTTAGAATAACACTGTGTATGTTGTTGATAGTCTCCAGTAAATTGTGAGCTTCATCAATGATAACTATATTTCCTTTTAATTCAATGCCACAAGCCTCTCTTGTTGATTTATGTAAGAGCACTTGATATGGTAAAACAACAACTTCTGCATCGGACACTGCATAACGACTGCTGTAGTATGGACAGGATTTTAGTTTTCTTCCAAGTTCAATGGATTGTTCAATGTCTTTAATATCTACTAATAGATGATCTCTCATATCTTCAATTGTATTGTTTCGATAATATGGACAGCCACTTCTTTTATGTGCCTGTTTATTCTCTTTTAGTTCCTTCAGGATCTTACCATCTCTCTTGTTTTTCTGAAGATCAAGACATTTTTCATTTATCAATGTTAAGTTATTAAGTTTTTGTACTGTCTCATTGATGCAAAGATTCTGTCTTGAGCCAAGTGACACCACACAAGTAACACTGGAATATGAACTTCTCTGAATTTCTTTAACAAACTGAGAAAGTTGGGAGTGTGTCCTGCTACAGTAAAATATTTTCAACATTTTAGTTTTTTCACTCTCTTCTTCCTCAATATATTCATTTTTTCCACTTCTAGAATCATCATCATCATCACTAATATATTCAGTTATTAAATCATCATCATCATCTACTTCACTTATGTCACCATTTTCTTTTTCTTTCAGTTCTTGCTTTACAGCTTCTTTGATATGTTTCGCATTTTTGAAAAGTTCATCAAAAACAGGATCATCTTCAGTATTATCCCTTTTTCTTTTAACTTTTCTCCTCATGTTTATAACTCTATTTTCTTGAGTCTCAAGTATGTTAAGTTCTTTTCTGGCTTGTTTAATTTTTTCATTTTCTTCTTTTTTCTTTGAATGTTCAAGAAACCAATCAGGTATTTGCTCCCTGTTTTGTTCATACACACCACCACCAGATTTAGAAGCTGAAGTATTTATGGATTTCTCAGCTGTATCTAAAAGTTTCTTGAGCTCACTTTTCTTTTTGTTCTCAAAATTTTTTAACCATGTTATAGCTCCACAAATCAAACTCAAGGACTTTCCTGTTCCTGTTGGGCTTTCGAAAATGCCTATTTTCGCCTTCTCTAAAGTTTCGTAAAGCTTACTCATGAAATCTTTTTGAACAGCGTATGGTTCAAAAGGAAAGGGGAAATTCACAGTTTTATTTACCTCTGTGTCTAGTTCTTCCAGGTCCTTGTTTTCGATCATGGACATTTTATTACCGTTTTTAGGTTACTTTCTAACTTAGAATTTAAGTTTACTGCTATCAAGTCAGTTGTAACTTGTATTTAGAAGGTTACTGTAGTTTAAACGTTAATATAATAATAATTATAGTAAAATCATTGTTCGAATCAAGAGTAAAATTTAAAATATGTCTCACTAAAACAAACTGAATATTATAAACGGAAATAACACGAACTTTCTTCTAAACCTTATTTCCTAAAGATAAAACGAAAATATGATTCACAACATCAATAGCTGGTACATAAACAAGTCTAAATCTGGCGCGAAATATTTACTTGGACCTCTGTTGGTAAATATTTGTATATACAAAAAATAATATTTTTTAAAATTATAATAAATAATTAAAACAACGTTTTATATTTATACAATAAAAACTTTATTGAAGCCGTACTGTCGTGGTGTTGACGTTTGCGACAGCATTTAGCAATTTATGCAGGGATGGGGAGGATTATATACCCTAAATATCTTTTTACATCGGATTAGAACCTTTAGTTGCCTCAACCTACGTTATAGCTTGCTTAGTTTTCTAATAGATGCTGAAGTATACATTTTACTGATTGCTCAATTTCCAGGTGTTACACGTCATAGAATGTTTATTTTCCGCCCTCCTCATCCGTGTAGTGAGAAGGTCTCATATCTTGCACCACTCCTTGTTTTTCTGCTGTGCATGGGGGTGGGTCACCCCTGATAAAGGTAGGGGTGCTGCTAAGACACGTAAAGTTGTAGTTGCAGGTTGTGCTTGATGTTTGGACGCTGTTTATTATATATGTTTCATTATGTAGGTTTAGTATAAGTTATTTTGTTTAGTTTCAACTACAGAATAAATTTGTGTTTGTTTTATGACCTACAATGTTACCATGTGTTCATTTATAGGCTCATTGCATAGTTCAGTGTGACTATGTTTTGGTTAGCTCTGACATTTAATGGATTGTGAGTACAAGTACAAAATTATCACTCATGTTAGAGTTGGCTGACTTAAATTTCAGTGTTTGTTCAGGCATCATTCTGAAACAGGGACTAATCTATTGATAAGACCAGTCTCAGTGCTAACCCCATGAAGCTTAATTGTTGCGAATGAATCTTTGGATGAAGGGTCGATGGCTAACGAAACTTAGATCTGCAAATTGTATGAAATAGTGCCAAACAAACTGGGTAGTTTGACAGATTATTAAACAGAGGACACTTCACCATACTCTGTTACTAGTGTGTGGAATCAACGTGGAAATGCCAAGTTACTGGTTTTAAGAAGAGCTGTCGGCGTAAGGGATTTAGCACTGATATAAATGTGATGTTTTAGAATAGAGTAACACAACTGCCAAAGGGTAATTATTCTTGCTTTTTCTCAGAATTCCAAAGTTATGTGTAGATTTTAGTCAAGTTAAGGCAGTCACTCAGGCTGATACCTTTTTATACTTTTCCATTACATGAACAGATAATTGTGCAGACGCATTTGAAAGCAGTCATTGCTTCATTATGCAAAATATGGTGTTTGACTACTGGAAAGTCAAACCACATTTTATTCGGAAAGTCACGATTCATGAGAGACGATTCACTATGTCATATGGGCCTTCCCATGGAGAAGACAACTTAGGAGACTTCCCTTTGGTCTTCCTGGGATTATACAACCACACCTTGTCTCCTGGTACAAAGCTGACTTCAGTAGATCTCTTATCATAACATAGCTTCATGGAATCAGCAGACTTTTTCAAGTTTGAACGCACTTGATGGTGAATATCATCCATCCTTTCAGATAACACTTTCACGAACTCTGACACATTTTCAGGCAACTCTTCGTAAGGTGGGCGTCCTGTTATAGATCTACTGGCAACCGAAGTTCGCGACCAAACATCAACTTTGTTAAAGTGTATCCAGTGGCTTCATGTTCTGCTGTTCTATAGGCCATCAACAGTGGAGGGGGTAAGAAATCCCAGTCATCTTGGCGGCTATTACAAAACTTTGCCAATTCCTGTCCCAGTGTTCAACTGTACTTTTCTATCATCCCATCAGACTGTGGGTGAAGTGGCATTGTCCTAGTCTTTCATATACCAAACAACTTTCAGCATTCATGGAACACAGCTGATTCAAAGTTACGGCCTTGATCGGAATGCAGTTAGTATGGCATACGAAATCTGAAGAAGAAATCACTAATAGACGAAGCTAGAGTTGTAGCTTCCTGATTTGGTATTGCATGTGCCTCAGTCCACTTGGTGAAATAATCCATCACCACACAAATGTATCTGTTTCCAGCACCAGTTTGGGGCAAAGGACCAGCAATTT